CAGTACTGAAAGTATTGTCGAAGGGTTCATTTGCACTTTAAGAGGCAGCCAAAACCGGAGGAAGAGTGTGGTGTACCCAAAGCTGATCTCTGTGGTACTCCACAGTAAGTGAATATTTATATTTAAAAATGTTTGTTGGAACTCGCATGTAGAAATAGCAAGCCTATAAAAAGTATTGATTCTTGTTAGGCAGGAAAGGACAGAAGGAGCAGTGTAGTGGACCCAAACTGTATCTCTAAGGTACAAATACCTAGTGTGGCTATTTTTTTTTGGAAATTTAGTAGAAACCATTAAAAATATCCTGATCATCTTTAATGGAGCGGGTGATTACCAGATGACTACATTGACATCGGTACCTTTTTCATGGTTATGAAAAATCATCCATTTAAAGAATTTTCTAACATTTTCACCCAAGTGAAGATGCTTACCAAATTACGTCACCATAGATGACGTCATTTTTAATGTCATCTGTGACGTCTACCGACGATATACTTTTGAGAATTTCTAAAAATAACCGTCAACACATTTGATTTCATGCGTGTCGTTTTTAGAGTTGACACCATTATCATCACCATCGTCGTCATCATCATCATCATCAGCGTATACATTTTCATGAACACCCTCCCAACTACTATCACTATCACTAATTTCACCGTCGCTCTTGTTTTCTTGCTTTCCGTCCAGTAGAGTCCTTACTTCCAGCTTCGCGCCTGTAGTCCCCACCTTCAAGACATCAAACGATTGATCCATCAGTTCTCCATCAGGAGACGCGGTTAGCATAAGAGGAGAGAGTCTGTTAAGGAGGAGGTGTATTGATAACTTCGAACTCGTCTTCCTCCTGAAGTGAAGAATTTTTAAAAGAAGGAAATATTAGCTGTTAGGCAAGAGAAAAGGAAGAAAAGTCTGTAAGAAAAGCGAAAAGAACTATGAGCGAAGAATGATAGAACTGATAGCAAAATGTTTTACCATTTCAGACCATGTCTCATTTCCTTCAGTATTATTTCTTTTAGGGATTGGGACCCTTTTTACTTAAAAGCTAATGTTTTTTCATTTCAAATGTATACCCTTGAAAATTATTATTTTCTTTATTCTTTTCCACCAAGTTCGTTGACTTGACAAAAATATTAGGTCTTGTTTTTTGTCATATCAACACCAAAATGGTGGACATGTCTGTTGTTCTTGTGCATGTGACATCATAACCGCCATGTTGGATGACTTGGACAAATGATTTTGTCTTGGTATCTCTTATGTCATCCAACATGGCAGACATGTCTTTTGTTTTTGTGCATGTGATGTCATAACCGCCATGTTGGATGACTAGGACAAATGATTTTGTCTTGGTATCTCTTATGTCATCYAACATGGCAGACATGTCTTTTGTTCTTGTGCATGTGATGTCATAACCGCCATGTTGGATGACTAGGACAAATGATTTTGTCTTGGTATCTCTTATGTCACCCAACATGGCAGACATGTCTGTTGTTCTTGTGCATGTGACATCATAACCGCCATGTTGGATGACTTGCACAAATATTGATTTGGTCTTGGTCACCCAACATGGCAAACATGTCAGCCACGTTCCTGTTCCTGTTACACCCATGGGAAGGTATACACGCTAAGAGTTTGTAACATAACACTAGTACTCGCCTCCTCTTCCTTGGATGTCATCTTGTTTTGTTGATAGCAGGATTCGCATACTCGTTCAGGATTTGTGTAGCCAAACTGGGGGAGAGTGATCTTTTGTTTTGAGCAGTCACCACAAAACACCTGACCGCATGCACTACGAGGAAGTTGTATTTGAAAAGTCAGTGTGAAAAGAAAACCGGATGTATTGTATGTACTGTAAGTATGAATGGACGGATGGACGGATGGACG